GTAACAACTGGGACATTTTACGAAAGTACTGTAGTTAGATAGTGAGAGCCTAAAGCAGTTGCCCCAGTCATGAGCGAGTGCTGTATACCTTGGTGAAAAACGAGATTATTTGAAATTTCCTCAGTCTACTTTCTAAAAACTTTATTTTTTTAAAATTATTTAGTCTTATAAAAATAGTGAATTTTAGTAAATGCTAACTAAATTAACTTTTAGTTATTTTAGTCGTTCTCTTCAAAGTTAAACAATTGATATGAAGAGGAAAGAATATAAATTTTTTTTTTTTGAAAGGCAGCCTCGGGCGCACTATTACAAAACAAAAAGCATGCCAGACTAATTATTCAATTCTAATCTTTCTCATTATGAAAAGGGACTCTTTCATGTGTTTTGCAAGTGGGGAAGGGTAGGAGAGAGCTTGTCTGCATTTTTAATGAAGCAGACACACCGAGCAAAATTTATTTTCGGTTTCAGAATTTGGAAAACGAAAATGAAACATAAATAAAAAGTATAATAAGTAAATGCATTCAAAAGCATTTTAACGCTTTGCATTTTTTTTTTATCTTATCTCATCATTCATTAATTTCTCTTTAATATCTGATGAAGTTTTTTTCCAAGTTTAGTGACTTTTCTCTCTCTCTCTGAAGTGGCTTCGAATTTTACATAATTTTAATTAGAAAACTTCTCAGCGTAGGAAATATCGGGCAATTACTCGAAATCTTAAAAATTAGTGCATGGAATATTTGACAACGACTCTTAATTTTATACAAATCATCAGTGGGAAAAATGTATACAAGTTAGGGCACCTGTATACAAGACAATTGTCCTCCCGTTGATGATACTCTGCACTGTCGTGTATTAACTAGTTCAGATTCGATTCAAACATTGTACCGTTAACATCATGTTTTCTTGTTATTAAATATTTTCTGTTATAGAAGCGTAATTGTAATAATTAGATTTTTTTAATTTGATTTGAAGATTCACTCATCTAGCATGGATAAAACAAATTCATGAACAAATTAATAATTCGGCCCCAAGATTATCGTAATTTAAGCACCCTTTACAGTTAAAAAAATAACAAGAAAACAGTTTATTTAAAACATGCATGCCTTACCTTTCCTTGCCTGCAATAAAGGCATGGAATAAACCCCTTTTCTAAAGACGAAATATCAAATTTAAAAGCTAGTGCTGCTTGTTTATTGTTTTGTAGTCTTGCGACCCGGACACATCGAACTAATGAGTTTATCATCAAATAGATCGGTTTATGAACCAGTTTATTTCTTTTAATAAATTAGACAAATTAGGATGGCGATGGTTCGATGGTATTTTCGATATTATTGAATTTTTAATAAAGGTTCTTTGTGTAAAGCAATTCTGCGTATTTTTTTAAGTACACTATCTGGAACGATTGGGACCATCGCTATTCCGGATAACTGATTTTTCCGGTTTTCTGAAAGGCCGTTTTTTTTATTGTTAAACCGAGCTAAAAAAAATAATATTTGGAAATAATCTTAAAAAGAAGAAAAAACGATGAAGTAATACACTAATGCTTATTTTCAAAATGATGGTAAGGTTCAAAAAAGAAAGAAAAATCCTAAAATCTTATGAGGAAAAAAAATTTTTTTTTTAAAAAATGGCGGGAAAATGTAACGAAATTCGTTCCGGTTTTTTGGTTTTCCGGTTTTCTTATTTCCGGATAACGGGTTCCGTACTGTATTAATTAAAACATTTAAGGACTCAAACTAAAAAGTATCTTGTAATAAAAAAAGCACCAATTTATCTATGGGGATAGTTTTTTAAGCGAGATTGAACCACATTTGCTGTGGTTTATTGCCAGGCACTAACTATTTGGATCTAAATAATTATGGTTGACTCTTGATACAAAAGTCCATCAAAAATTTATAAAGCAAGATTTTTTTTAGTAGATTTTAAGTGTCAAAATCTACCTGTGACAGCAGTAAACCATGGTTTAGAGAGTATATAATAAGGAGAACTTAAAAAGGGAAAAAAATGTGTGTAGTGTACTTTTGGTATGACCTTAAAACTGCAAAAAACTTAAATGTTATCAGCTGCTTTTGTCAAAAAAGAATTATCTAGGAATATTTTGGTTTAAAAAAGAAGTAGCTATAAGTTGAAGAAAGCATTATTAGTGAAATATTCCTGCCAGATAGTCGAGAGGTTAGAGTGCCTGATTGTGAAGCCAATGGCTGCGAGTTCGAATCCCGCTCAGGGCATGGATGTTTCTCTCTGTGTGTTGTTCTCTATTGAGTGATGTGTGAATATGGCCCACCCTATATGAGGGTATCTATGGTAGTGTGGCGTGGGTAATATTGCTCGCCTCCGTGACTTAGGTTCACAGGTGCCCACAACGTTAACTGAGAAACACTTCCGGCATCTTCCTAGGAGAAGGACGTTAAAGTTCAATGCCTGCGATTAGAAAAAATAATTAGTGGAATATTTATCCTAAAGATGATGATTAAGACTAGCAGAAGAATGTTGATGAATCATCGTAGGAAATTATTATTATCCATTGGTCTAATAATTCTATTGTCCAGAGTGTGAAGATAAACAAAAAAATCTATAGTGAAGGTTTAAATTATGATAAATGATAAAAATCATTTTATTTCAGAAATATGGAATCATATGGACCTCCAAAGTAAAAGAATGATTCATTTTTGTGGACATATAAATTAATAAATTTAGAAAATGTCCCGGTGGGTGTGGCTGCAGAGCCAAGTTACACAGAACACTTTCGTCCACCAAGAAATCAAAAATGCGAGTGCCATGTATGCGTACGTTAGCATAGTTTTCGCTTAGGAAAGCCAGGGTCTGACTTAGCCTTATTGGGTCCCGGGGCAAAAACTTCTTTGGAGACCGAGCTATATGGAGGTATTTAAACTTTCACCTCATTATACATATATAGCCAGAGAATTTATTAAAATCTTAAACTATTAAGCCCCCTCCCCCCTTCCAATGGTCAGACGAAATATCGTTCTGTCCATTTTATTGGTTTTCTGACAATTCTATGCGATAAATGCAGTTTTCTAATTGTTAACTTTGTTATCCAGCTGCCAAAAATTCATATCTTTGCTGACATAAGGGTGGAATTCAGCTAAATTTTTGAAATTACGATGGCTCACTTAAGCCAATCAGAAGTCTGTATTTTGGTAAACATATCTGATTTTGCGATATGGTAAAATAGTCTTTTGATTGGCCAAATTTGTCAATCGCAATTGCGAAATTTACCTAAATTCCCCACTAGAAAGAAGATTTATGAAAAGAAGATTTTTTCTGTTCATACGATAGATTAATGAGGAAGCTAACTTAAAACCAACTGATTTTACACTGTACTGATATTTTGTTTTTGTTTTAAAAATAGTTCATTAAAAAGGGAAACCTAAAATAAACTTTCTATTTGATTTGCAGCCCCCTCTTTTGCGTGGCCCAGGGCAACTGCCCCGCATGCCCATGCCTTTGTCAGGCTTTGAGAAAAGCTGAGAAATCCATGCATTGGCTATTAACTGATTAAATTTAATACAAAGGCTCTTTTCTTAGCCTTACGTGTTAAAAGTGTTGGTAAAGAAAGTGCAGAAATAATAAAGAATTTTAATGAAATCAAAACATCAGTACTCATGTAACGGGTTTTGAATTCTGTGCTATTATTTGTTAGGAAGATGTAGAGGGAATCACTAAAGATAGATTTTATTCTGCATTCAATTCAACGTTGTGGTATTAAGAGATTACGGATTATATTAATGATTTTTATTAACTGAGAAAAGGATTAAATAATAATTTACTTTTTAAATGCCAGGAAATATGTTATGCATAGTTGAGCATGACAAGAACAAGTATGAAATGTATTAGAAACAATATTGAAACGTTTATATGATGCGATCTTAAACTTTAAGGGCTCGTCTCTGAGTAGTTGAATGAGGGAATAAACTTCAGTTTTGTCCTCCCTCAAAGAAGGAATTTTTAGACATAGAATATGTATTTAAAAAATTTAAAAAAAATTTAAAAAAACCTAACTTTTAACAAGAGTGGAATTTATGGTAGGGGGCTAGCGGGACACATTTTTGAAACTTTTTAAAAATGAATACATTATATTGAATTCTTTTATGCTGTTGAGCCATTCAAAAATGTTCTCAAATTTTCAATGCGTTAATTTTTAAAAGTTTTAAAATTAAAAAAAAATCTTTTCTCTGATTTTTTATACAATGATTGAAAACATAATGCTCCAATATTGAAATTCACTTGGTTATTTTAAGTAAAAATGTCCTTAATTTCATTTGTCTATAGTATTTTTTGTTATTAGTATTTTTTTAAAAAAATTCTAAAGTTAACATTTTCAGTTCATTTTTTTAACATTTTTGTTCAATAAAATTCTAAAATAAAATAGAAAAATCTGTGTTTGCAGATTTTCTTGAAACAATTGAACGGTAAAAAAAGAAAATAATGAATTATAAGCATTTTACGTTTAATTTACTTATTTTTAGTAAGGTTTTAATATGCATAGTTTTATTGTTGGAAAAAAAATTATCACACTATTAACAATAAATTTTAATAAAATGAAATATATTGCATTTCTGGATTACGAATTGTGCTACAATATAAGCATAAAATGTGTGTGGTGCAAAATGTAACTAATTTATATAATATTGAAAATACTTAATATTTGAAACTCTCTCATTTGTAATTATATTAAAATCATTTACTGGCAACGCTATGATTTTCTAATAACTATGGAGAGTCAGTAAGTTATAACTTCAAAGCATCGTCTTAACTACAATAAATGGAGATAAATATTTAAAAAAAAATATTGAGCTACATTTCACAGATGTTGAACACTTCACAATAATACATTAAGGGACTATGAACTGAATAGTTATTAACTGTTTCCAAATAATATGAAAAAGCACTACTACAGACTATTTTCAAGAACCTTAGTTTGAAAGTTCCTACATAGATGGCGTAGCGCAAAGAGAGGTGATCTTAGTTTTCGGGGGATCTATGAGAACGCGCAAAATAAGCGCTCATTGAGTTTGTTTTCTCCAACAGTTCGTTCCTGTTTTTCCCTTGTAATTATTACTTAAAGATCACTCATTTCTTGCTGGAGAGATTTAAAGAGTTGGAGGAAAAAGAAGAATTCTGGTAAGTGAATCACTTATCATACAGGAAAAAACTTTAAATAGGATTTTTAATAATTTTTGAATTAAAGTATCAAATAAATATATTACGAAACTTTTAGAAAAGCTTGTTTTGAAGGAAATTTATTTGCTATGCACTAAATAAAGATTGCGAAGCATATCAAATGATTTACAATAAATTTAGTTTAGTAATTTAAAGATTATTAATTAAATTTGCATATTTTTTAAACAAAATATTTGTATTTTTTCAATTGTAAAAAATTCTTGTTGGAAAGTTTTAGTAAATAGTTTTAATTCCCATCTTAGAAAAGTGTTTCAAGCAGCATTTTTTTCAAAAAAATTAAGGAAATCCTCTTAATAATTAAACCTTTCAATTTGGTCATGTTAATTGAGATATTTATATAAAATTTGAAAATTTGAAGTTTTCAATATAACTAGTAATTAGTTAATAGTAATAGTTATAGTAATAGTACTAGTAATTAGTTAATATATCACTAGTAATTAGTTTCTAATACTGAATTAATACTCATAGTCGTTAAATATAAGCATCTTACTTAAATTTTTTAATTTTTTTAAACAAATTTTAAAAGATTGTTTTCGACGTCGTATAGTTGACAATAAATTTCAAATATGATTATTCTCTTACTACATAAACTAATTTACCTCCATGATTGAAGAATTGGCTAAAAGTTCAAAAATTTTCAAACAAATTTGCGAAAAGAAAACAATTATTGTGGTTCGAAAAGCAAACAGCAAACGATAAATAAAATGCTTTTTAAAGCGAGCAATGCTTGTTGCATATTGATTAGTAAAATATCATACTAAGGATAGAAACTGAAGTTTAAAATAAACATTACATTTTATAATTTACTCAGAAAATAATTGTTTTTACATATTCCACTGAGAAACAATTTTTTTTTGTGTTTGTAGATTTTTGAACAGATCTCAGATATTTTGGCGTTGCTAATTTCAAATAAGCAATCGGTTTCTCTATAGAAGTTGCAGTTTTTATGCAATTTAATAACATATTCCTAAACAAGATCTTTTAAAATTCGTTCTAGGGAATGCTAAGTGCTCAACTTCTCTAATACGTAGGGAGTAGTAGAAAGAAAGCAATAATACATTTCAGTTTATAATACAATACGTTAAGGCATACGCTTTTTGTCTTTAGCATGATTTTCAGAGGAGTAGACAAGTTTATATGTATGTACATAAATTTATGTATTCCTGATAAACTTGTACATTCAGCCGAGAAATCAATTAAACAAAAAATACTATTTTGAAAAATATCTGTATCTTTTGGCACAAAAGTAATTACAGATATTTGAAATTCATGCACCCTAACTTGGTCAAATAAAGTACTTGTATAAATACAAAAAAAAAATCCCTTTCCTTTTTTTCAATTTTAAAATTTATTTGTGCAAAATATTTGAAGCATGTATGCAGAAGCTTTTAGGTACTCCTTAAATTTCTCTACTCTCTCATTCGAACAATTTAAGTAGAAAGAAGAATATTTCGAAAACACAAACAAGTATTCTTGTAAGCTATTTCGAAATGCCATTTAAATACCATGATTAATTTACCATACATTTGTACTTTGCAATATTTATATTGTTGTTAAATTAACATTTTTAATAGTTTTGTAAGATAACTTCCTTTGAAAAGTTTATTACATAAAATATTTGTAAACCGAAGTTATCTAAATTTCATTTATATTTAGTTCAGGAAACTTTTTTAGTTCATAGAGTGGGGCTTAAAAGTATTTGTTTAAAGAAAAATATTTTTTCATGAAAATTTAGCCGTGCGTAAAATACAATGTACAATTCGTTGCATAGTACATTCAATGCATGCAATATATATTTTTAATGCAACGTATCCTTAAAAATATACTGAGAAAAAAAGTTTGGTCAAAACTGCCAGAATATGGTAAAATTTACAACGTGTTTCTCGCACAATGCGGGAACATCAAAAAGCTCGGTAATTTTTACAGAAGTGCTTTAGAAATTATTTTCTTAAAATGAATAGTAAAATGTGATTTATATTGTGAGATAAAATTTGGTAAACATATCATGATACTTTAGAGCAGAGCATAAAAATCATTTTTTTGAATAAAGAACATGATCATAGTAATCAGATTAATTAAAAATAACAGTCTGTTAACTTGCTACTAACGTGATTTTATCCCTGCTCTAGAGTCTTGTATGCTATTATCTATTTAGTTATCAGGGGTCTGTCCAGACATTTTGTGAAAGGTCCGTTTTTGTAAAATTGTGAAAAAAATTACTCGTAATTTGTGAACATAAAACAAACGTTAAGTCACATTCTTTCAACCAGGGTCCGGCTTTTGTGAATTTGTGCAAATAGGGTCCGGTTATTGTAAAAAAAACTTTTTCAAGGAGTTTTTAAATTGTTAAGAGATACGAGATTATGCTCAACACTGCAAAATTATAATTAAAAAAATAATTTTTAAATGATAAACAGCAATTGCTGCTACTAAATTAGAGATGCGACATACAGATATTTGGTATTAAGCCTATACTGCTAAACACAGAATATTTATTTCGAACGAATAAAGGAAGAAGCGTCTGCCCAAGACAAAACTTAGTTCGTTTACATCTGTCTTTCTTTCCTCCCCTTCCTGGGAAGTGTTTATTCGATTAACAAAACAATAATGAAGATAAACAAATTTGTGAAGGGTCCGATTAAAAGATTAATTATTTTGTGAAGGTTTCATTTTTAAGTTAAAATATTTTGTGAAGGGTCCGTTTTTATGAGAAGATATTTTGTGAAGGGTCCGTTAACGAACCCAAATTTCTTCTAAACAGGCCCCTGGTACTATACAGTTATTCCAAGCTTTTAATACTAATAATGAAATAAAAAATTGAAAAAAACTTAGTTAAATAATTTCTTATCTGTTGTAGCTTTACGAAAGAATCTCATTATTTTATTATTTTTTAAATATTGCAAAAATATTTTATAATAATATAAACTTTCATTTGTTGTCTTGTAACAATTCTTTTATACGATAGTAAATGAAATATTGTACGAAGTAAATGAAATCGTATTTTGCCCAGTTAATTCTGACTTAATTTGATTCACAGTATCCCCCTCAGAATTTTCAAAATAATTATCGTCTTACATTTATGGTCTGTAGGAAGATAATTGCTTCCTCTAGTATTTAACAAACTTTTGTTCGCACAAAGGAACGAGGGAACTAATTTTAAAGCATTATTTTAATTTAGAGGCAATTATTCAAAACATTTATCCAAAGTTTTCTAAGATTCATGCTCTATGTTTATGTACTCATCCGTTTCGGAGTATACGTCAGTGTAATTATCATGAATTGTTATGACAAATCGTGTTGTTATCTGTTCATGTTTATATAGTAATGATACTGTTTTAAAGTTCATTTTTCTCACAAATTATTTTCATAATTTTTCTAAGGAATTTTATTACAGAAAATATTTTAAGAAAATTTAATAAAACTTTATTATCATAGATTATTTTTAATATCATAAAAATTTTATAAGTGTATTTACTAATGTCTGACATTAAAAAACGTTATCTAGACTAGATGCTGAAATAATTTGAAATGCATATGTAGTGGATAGTTATCGCCTTAGACTAGTTTTAACTTTTTTACTTGTAGAATAAAATAATACAAACGACTTAAAAAAAAGTATGACAAATACATCTTACTTTCGTCTATGAATGTATTTTATTGTGAACGATATACAATTCAGAATTTTGGTTCATTAAAAAATGTCGTCGAAGGTACAGCATGTACTTTACGTGCAACATGTACCATTCCTTGCCCCTTAGATTATTAGAATATTGAATGTTACACTTTGGATAGCATTTGTGTATTTTTATTCTAGACTTGCTAGTTGTTTGAAGTTTAATATATTTATGCAATTTTAACTTGGCGTTAACGCAATTGTTAAATAACTAAAATAAATAAAATGAATTATAAATCTTATACCTGATAATATTTTATTGCAAAATGTATAGATTTATTTGAAACATAAAAATTTTTACACATTGTAAATAGAAAAGTTCATAGGGAAAAATTTTACTCTAACAGACGCTTCGTTATACTCATTCTAAACCAGAGGAGGCACAGCAAGCATTCAGTTTCCTGATTTCAATATGCTTAACAAAAAGAACTCATTTTAATTGAAAAGTTGGCATTTTATCTTTTAGAGAGTTTAAGATCTTTTTTATCTTATAGAGAATTTTCAGGTCATCAATATTTTATTAATTAATTTATTAATATTTTATTAAATTTATTTATTAATTCTTTTTCCATCATTATCACAGCCTGGTACAGTCTAGAGCTGTCCTAAATAGTCCTTATTGCTAAGTCAAACAGACACTAAGTTTCTCTATTTGTTAAGATGTATTATATAATTAATTATTTTATTAATTTTCATAATTTAATTTGTTTATATTTTAAAGCGAACTTTTATCTTACTAATTTTTAGATCAATATTTTTTTATCTAATAGAGAATTTACCTACTTTTATATTTCAAAATTTAAGTATTATAGTGTTTTATATTTCGGTTAAATGTTTACAAAGTACTAAGCAATTAAATAGAAAAAAAATACTGAAGCACTGGAGGGGAGAATCGAATCTGAAATTGTCGCTAGCACAACAGATCACTTTATTGTTACAGGTACCAAATACATATAGAAATGCCAAATTTTTTCACTAGGTGGCGTAAATATTGACATTGGTCCGAGATAAATACGGTTCAAGGTACTATGCTCTTTCCCGTAATATATTTCGTTAACTAAAATGCCATTTCCATTCTGTTGCAATTTACATCGTCCAATATTATTTCCATTGCAATTCAATTTTTTTAAGATTATTTTTATTCAGTCCATTGTTAACAATGTACTATTTTTAGAAGTTTTGAAACAAATTAAATAATGTTAATTATGAAAAATTGCAATATAATATACACCGAAGAGCCATTACATAATGACCACCCTCGATCTAT